GTTTACTGCTCGATGTGTCGACGAACACCCACAATTACCAGCACAAAGCAACGGGAAACCGTCCGTTGTGTTGTGCAAAATAGTTCCACGGATGAGGTGATTTGTGGGGATTTAAGACGCTTTTTGTGGTGACCTATGTCGAGCAGCACTGCAAGAACGTAGCACTTTAAAGTAACTCATCTGTTGTACCGTGGTAATAACCTGTAAATATGATATTCCAAGTTTATTTAGTAGCTTATTAATTAAGGTTATAAAGAACAGGTAAATGTAAGGTACATTTGAATTAACTCAAAATCGAAGGAAATTTACCTCTTAACTTCTCAATAAGACAACACGTTTTTTGACGGATAGTCTATTTATTTCGTTGCTTGTGTGTTGATTCTCATTTTTAGTGAACATTATCTAATATTTTTAAGAAGCAACAGGCAGTTTTCTAAATAAGACAAATAAGAGCTGCAGTGTTTTTGGCTGCTAACGTTGTTTCATGACTATTTTTTTATCTTAATTTTGATTTTTTACTATAGTGGATTACGTTATGTTTGACTCCCACACGGTCGTGTATCCGATTTTATAAGTCGCACACGTTTACTTACGATATTAAATCGATTTTTTGCGTAGTTGAATTGACAAAAAATAAGGCAGCAAAAATAAGACGATTTCTCGAGAGAATGCATTAACCACTTAGCGATACTAAATATTAATTGCAATGTAGAATAAGCATTAAAAGTTTAGTGTACTGCACTGCAAAAATGCAAAAAAGCCTTGTTTACGGGTTTCGACGTGAATAAAACGAAATCGAGTATCCCAGGGTTTGCAAATAAATTGCAATTGCTATGTTCTAAATTACGCTTTTGGACCACTACCACAATTCATTGACGTCTGCAATTTCCAAAAGAGCGTCACTTGTAAACTTGAAGCCGGGCGAAACGAAGTTCAAATCAGATTGCTAGGAAAATATGTAACCGAGAATCATCATACACTGAATCCTCATTGTTTTTGAAGCAGAGGGCGTTTGCGATTGAAATCCAAGTGTTTCAACATCACCACAAATAAAAACTGCTCCGTCATCTTTTCTTGAGACCACGAAAGTGGCTGCGATGTCGGGGCGCTCGGCCGACACTCGCACGACCCGCGTAGCGAAGTTTGCGAGGTCTTCGAAACCGTCCATGCCTTCACCACCGGCAGGGCGACGCAGAATCCGCAGAACGCCTCCTCCAGTGGGACTGCCAGCGGAGCAGGTTAGGGTCACCTCTGTTCCTTCGGGTATGGGCCTGTCCAGGCCGACATTTGACGTGAGTCTAGCTTGCCCATCATAACTTTCTGGAGGAACGGAAATTGATGTAAGTAGAAAGAGGCTGGGAAAGGCTGCTGATCATTATCAAATCACATATTTCAAGAAGGATTTTACAGTCGTAAAATGCCTAAAAATAGACCAAGATCTCTCGTTCGAAAATAGTAACAGCCAAAGAAATTTCATTCAGGAGTCAGGTGCTACTTTCGAAAGAAACCTGTGTCTAGTTTCTTCACGTATCTGCTTTCATGTTGCTCCCCCTAGAAATCAGGGGGTCTAAACGATCACGCATCACATAATTCATGAAAAAAGGCAATGGTTTATTCTAAAAAATGACAAACATTCGAATATTTCACACCCTTTATTTTGATTTTTTAAAAATAATTTCTTGAAAATGTACTTTCACTTTAACTTTTATGACATCTTTCTTCCCAGAATGGATCAGTATCACTTATTAGTAGTCGGACTCACAATCAATAATTTTGGGGAACGATTTATTTACTGATAAGGTAACTTCAAGTGTTTTGACAGTAACAAGTCTACTTCGGCTTGAATGAAATGATTTTAGAGCTGTTAAATGCAACTTTATCTTTTACTGTTCGGGTTTACTTATTAGTTTTGCAAATCATGTATTTCGTGCGTGGACAGTTGCGTTCTACTTTTTTAGGCTTCAGCCTTTAGATGATTAATGTAATTATTGGTGATTTAAACCAGTTAGCCATCCTAAATTTTGCAGATTGCCATTAACACGTGACACGGTCTGATTCTAACAAGCTATCACCCAACAACATTCCCGCCTGAGTCAGCAGAAAAAAATGACTTAACCCAAAAAAATAAGTCTTAGAGTCTGACTCACGCCGAAGCTGGACTAATGTCTCGGACCATACTGTGAAGATTTCCGACGTTACGATTTAGGGATAAGATAACCGACACTGAGGCTTGTCTAACTAATGATGACGATCTAAACGCTAATAATGAGCTCGTTTACTTTTTCGTCTGGCCCATTTTTAACATTTCTTTTCAACTCTCGAGCCTACAAAGCACCCTCTAGTGTTTAGGTTGGATAAATGCACTTTGAATCAATGTCCCTTGCCTGCTGCTAAAATGCTGGTCTTCCAAAATATACATGCCATGGAATGAACAGGAGTTAAATTATGCATTTTTTACATTTAATTCCCCCCTGACCTCTTTGTAATCTGTATGCACAAATAAGATTTAAAAAACATCTGGGATAGCTCTTAAACTCTGCCTGAAATATCAATCACACACACAAGCCCATTCATGGTCAAAATATTTATGTTTTGTCACCCGCTACCAGATTGGCCAGATGAGAAGTCGTAGTAGGGACCAGATAGAGCATTTTTTATAATAAATCTTTACACGGATTGTGCCAATACACTCTAAGGCCTGGTACTTCAACCATACAAACCTAACTACTAAAAATTCCATTTTAGCCCCTAGAAAAAGAATGTATCTGCATCAAACCTTCAGTCCTCCCGAGGTGTGACGTTGAGCCCTGTAGCTTACGCTGCTGGGCAAAAGATTGCTTCGAGGGGTGCACCCGCACGCAATGCACCAAGATCCCAAGTTGCACAGGTTGTGCATGGAATGGCCGAGCGGCTGTGCAAACCCAATTATCATTGGCACCACCAAGCTAATCCAAGGTGATTAAGAAAATGACCCTCTTTGTCGTCTCTCTTGTGTAGCACATAACTCGACAATTTTGAATGCATACAATTTTCCTTTTTTGCGTATTTTGTAAATTAAAATCAGACGGAAATTAGTAAATGTAGCATTCTGATTAAGCGTGGACATCAAGCAATTGTGCAAAGATAAATTTCAGAGAAATATGGGACTTGTTAAATACTAACAATGGAACACATGTAGTGTTTACTGTTTCGACAATTACGGTAATGGAATTGCTGGCTACACCCCTGTGAACGACAGTGTTGGCCAAACGGTGGGCACCACAAGTTGAACAGAGCGAGCTAGGTACAGCTTTCAATTACTAACATGACTGTGGCCTCATCGCATAATTGTAGATTACACGACTTCCGTGATTCCGTTGATGTTGCAAAACCTACGTGAATGCTCCAGGAGTTAAATCGTGCACTGAAGTGGCATTTGTTCACGTTTAACCACTGAGCCCTGTCTAGCTCAGCACCTCCGTTCGGTTTTACTATCAACAGTACCCTTCTCAAAATGAACACCTGAGCTCAATGTGAAAGTCCAACGAAGACTTGCAGTTTTTGTGGCTTTGTCTCCGCACAAACCCTTCTAAATATTCGCTTCTTAACTGGATACTCCGCTCAATATTCATATTAACAAATGTACGAAATTTAGCAGTGAATGCTTGATTCATGCACACGGAACCACAGCTTAAATAAAATTCTCGAAACGTTATAAACTTGAGCACGTTGTAATTAGAACTTTAGGATATAATGTGAAAATGTTTTATCAAGCCCGAAGACCAAAATTAACACTTTGACAAGCCTGTTAGTTTGTTGTACAAGGTAGTTTGAATTGGCTGCTGCCCAACAAGAGAGGAACCCAAGCTAAGCCAATGAATATAAAAGGTGTCTGTTAAGCGCAAGCCATGAATGTTTACGAGCGAATCAGGTGGAATAGGCTTATCCTGGCTCCACACATGCTTAACATAATTTTGAAGGTAGTTCACTCTTATATAACTGTAAATTCAAAAAAAGAATGAAGTGCTTACCCACGCTTGAAATGTGTGCATAAATAAGTAGCAAATGGAGGATACATGGCAAACGGGTTTGCTTGTTTATGGAGAACATTGATTAGGAGGCGCGCAAGTATTATCGAGAGGGTGTCATCCTCGTTTGGGTTTTTTATCGCCGAGTGCGGTTGACTTTACGTCTAAAAAGTAAAATACAGACAAATTGAACTAAACAACTAAGGTGATTTTTGTGATTTAAAGTGCATGTAATCACCACCGCATTGAATGTCCAAGAAACATTAGCGCTAAGTGAATCAGTCGATACATTAGGCGAAAGACAAATCATCTTATTCCACATTTTAAAAACGGTAGAGTATTTGCAGGAAATTAATGCAAGCTGTAGGGCCAAACAACTGTGGTACGAGTTAAGAAACAGCCGCTAGTCTTATTTTCTTTTAAATACAAAATTTTAACATGCATTTGGCCTACGCGGTACCCGCGCCGGAACTACGAATACACGCACATGTGTGCAGACGTGCGAAGTTCCAGCCTATCGACTTTTAGGTTTTCACTACACTTAATTCATTTGTAGTTTATGGTGCATTAATAGCTTTCAGGTATCTCTAACACTTTCGTCTTTCGAGAGCATACACCCCGGATCCGCAACGATAGATGTCCTACAATATTTAAAAAAATGCACTGCTTTTCAAAAATGAAGGCCTGAATTCAAAATAATGCCAAAAAAGCCATGCAGTCTTACTGTTCAGAACATTGGGAGTCAAGGGAGCAGACTGAGGTGCAAAGCTTGGAGTGGCCGACTATGGGTAAGCCAACCAGAACTGTGGAAGAAAGAGGTTAAACACAAATTACGTAAATCGATTATAGAGAACAGCAGATACAACAAGACAGGTTTGATTAAGCCTATTTCGAGTAAGAGTCAAGCCCAGCCTATAATTGTCAGAGTGCGCTTCTGACATCATTCAACATAACCCAACGAATTTGACGACTGTCATAAATGCAAATATCTGCCATATTCCTGCTGTAGTTTGCACACTTAAGTGGGGATCTGCTATGAATATTCGCTGTAGCCAATGCTTCTTTAAGGTAGCGCAGTAAAGTGCTTGTGTATTTGCACCGGTTAATATGTAGATGAGACCGACGCTTACAATACTGACAAATGACAGTCACAGATTTTCATTACTACTCAAACTTTCAATAGCCCAAGACACACACCCACATTATAACAATATGCAGAATACTTTGGCAGACAGCATGAAGAACCGCAAATATCCCAATGCCGTGTAATTTAATTTGTAGGCCACCTGTTTGTTAGGTTATTATAAATAAAATCATATTTAGGTGACTATTGTAGGATTTTTAGCTAGAAGTTTAATCTTTTAAATGTGCTGTTAGTCTGTAAATTTGATTAAAGCCTGGCACTTGTCTGACCCTAGGAGTTAACAGATCAGCTGATGTTCAGAGTTAAAATTTTAAAGCCAGGTTCTTTAAGAGACAAAAATTTCCAAGAATGGTCAAGGTCACTGCATTCTCTATATAGGTGCTGATAATGGGGTAAGTTTACTGTGTTGGGGTGGGAGTAAAAAAAGCCAATTTCTAAGGCACAGTCCAAACCAGTGATTATCAAGGTTACCCGAAAACAGTTAATATTGTCTTAATAGGATGACAACAACACGAAACTGTTACAATTTGTTTATGCACCATGCTTCATTTATTATGCACCGAAAAAAACGGTGCATGAAGTGTAACAAGGAGAAAGTGCACTGCTAGCCTCATACTCAACAAAACAGCTTGAGCTAACTAAGACTTTTGATATTACTGAGCTCGTCGTGAACATTTTTGCATTTACTGAATTCTAACTCATGCAACATGTTACACTTCAATTAATTCAGTTTACTAAGTGAGTCCAATGCCTCTCGACAGGAATTGCGAATTAGCTAACTTTAATCATAGTGTTTCTGAGTTTGCTTCAAGCATGCCTACCCTGATTGACATTTAGCTATGACGGTCACTCAAACCTCATTGAAGCTAGATTTAATCAAGCCAGCTTGTACGCAAATACTGCATTGAAAAATAGCCCTCCCCCGAAGTGAATCATCGTTTTAAGTAACTGCATTTTTTTCGTTTTTGCAGATAATCCCATTTTAGCTTTTTTTTTAAGTAAAAAGTCGATGCCACGGTGCTTATTAGTTAAAATTCTCCAAATTTAAATGATGGTAAGGAATTTTACTAATGGCACTTCACAGCTTTTTACATGGAATCACAGATCGAAATTACCCGTAATCGCAATTGCAATATGTTATTAATTTTAAGCAAATAGCGAAACCGATACATTCTCGTTAAATTAGTAATATTATTGCAATACACAAGGTGTATCTGCTAGATTTGAGTTTAACAGGATAAAATAGTAGTTGCAGCGTACAGCTAAAGGTATTTTACGTTTGGCTGTGCACAATGCTCCCATGATGACTACGTCAAACAATTGTCGGACCGCAGACTCCTTTGGGTTGACAGTTTAGTAATTGGTCGCGTTGAGATGGCGAACTGTTTACGATTGACCAAACAGACAGATAGTCAGTCATTTCTAATTCCACTACATCTTCAATATACGTTTTAAATTGCATAGTGAAAATGACAGAGGCCCAATTGAAAGAGGTGCTGACGGCAACCAGTCTTAGTTGGACGCCTGCCCACTGTTAATATGAGTATTTGATGATGCACGACACCTAGAGAGGCGAGAGAGAGTTTAAATGTTGCGCAGGCACAGCCTGAATTCCTTCCGAGGTAGTCCTAATCAAGGTACGGTAACACTCCTAGGAGTTTGACGCAGAACTGTTGGGTGACAGTAACGTCCTTCTGATAAAATCGATGTTATTAATAGTTTTTAAGTTCTTCTTTCTAGGAAATATTTTTGGCTTCATTGAGATTTCGATTCGTAGATTGCTAAACATTACCAGATTCTGCAATCATGATTTTTCTCAAATTAAATTTAGCAAATTTTCCAAATTTACCCTCAGCAACGCCGAACCCTGTGGCTTAAATGAACACAAGAGTGAAAGTCACAGTAAATTCCAGCTTTCTATAAAGCCAAGATTTATCCCATGTCTGGCTTTTTCTAAGACCGGAATTTGTACCTTCAATACTACGAAATGCAAATTATTTCAGGTACCGTGACGTCATCAAGTTA